AGCGGCGAGGTCCTTAGCTGATAAGTTAGCTGGGTGGATGACTGGCTGGTCGTAGCGTGTAGTCACGACGGTAGTGACCGGGAATGGCTTCGCGTCGATCCACTTGTGCACTAGCGGGAGAGAATTCGAATGGCAGCTCCAGCCCCAGCGGCTGGCGGCTACCTCGGCCAGAGATCTTTCACGGTTTGAGTTTGAAGGGGGCCATTCACTGCAATTGACTATGGAGGATTCGATATTTAGGTGGCCCGCGGAGAAGTGATCTGACCGCCATCCCTGCGGCGCAATAGCCATCATGCAGCCGCGAGGGCGTCGCTCGCTATCCGAGCCAAGCCGCATATGGCCAACCACTTCAGCTTGGAGCGGCTGGACTAGAGCAGCCGGAAAGGAACACATCCTGGCGTGGATCTCTATATGGCTCATTCGACTGCGTTACTGCGTTTGGAGGCGCTGCATGGAGTCTCCTCCGGACTGCGTTCGAGGAGAACCTCGACCGTTCTCATAGCGCTGGGCTAGGTCCTCGCCAGTGCTAGGGGACCTAGCCCAGCACTACAAGACCGCGGACATACAATGTCATTGCCAATGAGATCCGCGATCGTCGCCACGCGCATATAAACCTACAGTGGTCTCATCTACACCACGAAGCGTGGAAATGCGACGACGCGTGCATCATGTTTTCTATCGTAGCTCCTCACCCAAAAGCTCATCGCCGAGCAATTTAGCGGCAGGGAATTCCATCCCATCTGAGTTGACTCAGATCCTCATCTGAGTCAGAAGAGACGCAAAAATTCGAAGTAAAAGAACGTTCTCAGAACCTCCTCAAATCGAAATATTTCGATTTTCGAGTTGAAATTTTAAAGTTTAAAATCAAGCACACGATCCACTTATGGCGACGAACCACCTGCTCGCGACGCCAGCCTTCGCGCTGCCCTTAGGCTCATCAAGTGATGACGAAGACGACGGCGGCAAGGATGCAGGTGTCTACAGCTTTGGACAGGTGCGCAACACGAACGAATCATCGAACACTCAATGCATTGCACCGACAAAATACGCGATCCTGTGAATCGTTGTCTAGAACACATACGGAGAGCTGGCGCTTGGTGACACCAACGATCGAAGCAATCCGACACGCGTTGATCTCGGTAGAAACAGTGGTGGAAAGCGCGTCGTGGACGTGGCCTGCGGGAACGAGCAGACCGCCATCCTGTTCGGTGGGTCTGCTAGACTGAGTGTAGCAGTGTGTCGTTTCAGGCATTACTTGTATACTAAAGCTGCTTGGTGCAATTTCGGGTGCGCGTCATTCGCATTTGTCTGTAGAAAATGGAGATGTCTTCACTTGCGGGTATAACGACAGGTATGTTACCTTTGGTGCTCTGGATAAATCGTTGCGTTGGAATTGACCTTTCGTGGTTCGTGGATAATTTGCAGTGGGCAATGTGCAATTGGCACGACGGAGCGAGTTCCGACGCTACGCTTTTCGCCTGGACTTAGCTCCAATCGCACAGCTCGAGTGTTTTCAGGGAATGGAAGTGAACACCTTGCAGCACTGAGCGGTGGGTAGCAAGTCCAAGTGGGTGATGATGAAGTATTTATCGGTTCTTACGTTTGAAATGACTGTATGGCGGTGACATTGCAGCAAATGGAAACTTGTATACTGTCGGGTTTAATATGCGTGGTCAATTGGGGCTCGGCACGGCGACTACTGTCACGGAGGCTACGCTTGTGGAAGAATTGGTCGGCAAGCGCGTGGTTGACGTTGCGTGCAGTTACTTCCACACCGCAATCGTCATAGATAATGGAGACTTATACGCCTGCGGCTGCAACGACTACGGTCAGCTAGGCTTGGGCGACCACAGCGGTCAGCTTGTACCTCGACCTGTAGAATATTTTTTTCGTCGCCCCGTCCTGGCGGTTGCGTGCGGTCAGCACTACACAATCGCATCATTGAGTACGTGCTGTAACATGCAAAATGTCCTGATGACAGAGTTAATAACCTCTCATGAATAGGGGATGGAGGAGTTGTTGCGTTCGGGAAAAATGACCATGGTCAACTTGGACTTGACCGTGTATCTGAGCCAGTTTTGCAACCTACCCGTCTAGCTCCCCCGCTTGATAGAGCAGTAGTGCCTCAATTGTCGTGTGGGTACCACCACACCGCTATTGTCACGGAGGATGGTGCTGTATACACGTTTGGACGCAACGACTACGGGCAACTTGGTCTTGGACACAAGCTACACACGGCACGACCAACGGTGCGTCGGTATACACTATCTTTTGGTAATTCACTTTTTGGTGTATGCTTACTTCTTTTGCAGCATGTAGAAAGTCTGTCGCGAATGAGGATCACACAGGTTGCATGCGGTTGCTACCATACCCTTGCTCTTTCGGGCGATGGGAAAGTATTCCCATTTGGTCGCAATAATCACGGCCAACTAGGGCTGGAGACGACCGTGGACTGCCTAAGCCCGCAACTCATTTCGACTTTACGGAATAAATCCGTTATCAAGGTACCCAGCGCTAACAAAAACAAGTTTTGATTTTGTTCCTAACACATGCATTTGATTGTGATGTGTTATCTAGGTTGCTGCAGGATTTTACCATTCGGTCTGTTTGGTTGGTATGCTCAAAGACGAGAACCAATCTACGAACGGGTCTGGGACACTAAGCGGGGATTTACGCAAAATGCTCAACAACTCAACTCGGAGTGATATTACCTTCGTGATAGAAGGGCGCCCTCTCTTCGCACATAGTTGTATATTGGTTGCTCGTTGTGAGCCGCTTGAGAAAATGCTTGACGGACGAATGAAGGACGGATCTCAACCAGAAATCGCCATCCCCGAATACTCGGTGCGTACAACACAATGGATGCTGTCACAAGCATTGCTCTCTAAATGTCAACGTGCAGTACGACGTCTTTGCTGCTTTTATGGAGTTCCTGTACACTGATCAAGTGGTAGCACTAGCAACACCAGATTTGGCAGCAGGTATGCAATAGCTGGCCTAAACTGTTGATATGTTTCTTACTGTTAAACCGATATCAAAACAGACTTTGCTCTGGAGCTACACGCGCTGGCAGACCAATACCTGGTTACAAGTCTTCGAAGGTTATTCCACACCCTTGCTGAAGCGAAATTCGTGCAAACTAACGTAAATTGTTCTCATCATTATTCGGCAGTGCATGTGAAAACGCATTACTGCAAATTCTATCAGTGGAGAATGTTGTAATCATCGTTGAGGTATGTTCGCTTGTTTCTACCCGTGATTTACAATGGACTTGAATTTTTGCTT